CCAACACCACTCTTATCTTGTGAGTGGGATTCATATATATGAATTCAGAATGCATTGTCCTATTGATTTGCACTATTGCACTTTAATTTCTTTTTTTTAGGTTTACTTGCTACAAGTTGCAATACTGGTTTATAAGTATTTATTTAAATGTATAACTTTTTTTTTTTACTATAAAATCACTATAAGGGATTGTAGTTGTTTTATAAACAGCACTTTGGTTTTAAACACACATTTGGATTTTCAAACATTTTTACAACACTGTATAATTTTACCATTTAGCTGATAGTCCTGTTTTACTTTTAAAGGGTTACTATACTCACCTCAGATCACTGAAGTAGTCTGGGTGCCAGGTCCCTCAGGTTTTAACCTGTCTTCCTGAAATTCACATCCAGCGTGCAGAACGTCCATAGGAAAGCATTCAGAAATACATTCCTATGGACTGTTTGAATGTGCGCGGCACTTGCCACGCATGCGCATTCCACTCCACTCGGGAGCTGACGTCGGCGGGGGAGGAGAGGTCACCAGCACCGAGGGAGCCTGGTGCTGGATTAAGGTAAGCTGCTGAAGGGGTTTTAACCCCTTCAGCGCCAAGGAAGGAGGACACTGAGGGTGTGGGCACCCTTAGGGCACTATAGTGTCAGGAAAACGGGTTTGTTTTCCTGACACTATAGTGATCCTTTAAGTCACATATTTTTTTATTTTTGCTGCACATTATTTAAAAAAATATTCTAATCACTCAAAATTTGTGCTCACATTTAGCATTTGAAAAAATTGTGCACTAACCACTATACACATCACATATTGCACATTTTCTGTAAGAGTGTTAGTGCAGTGAGCTCACACTACTGACATAATCAGAAACTTTCCACAAAGCAATATTTGCTAAGTGATAAAACAGCAGTGGTAAACATAAATCCTATTTGTTAAAAAAGACCAAACATTATTGCTAAAGTTTCTTTACTATATATTTATATATTATATTATATCTGACACTCTGAAATCCTGTTTACACAAATCTCTTGTATACAGAAATCATGGGGAGTTGAATGAATATAGAAAGGTTTTGCTAGGAAAAATGACAAAGATCGATTTTATTCATACTTTAAGGGTGTCATTATAACAGCTGTAGAGAAGTAAATTTTTATGCATTAAAAACTGATTTGTGGCTAATCTGAAAAATGACATCTACTTAGATGGACTTAGATCTCTAATCACAGTGGTGGATCTCACCGCATGACTACATTTTATAAAGTAATATTTATTTTAATATACAATATCGATTTCTGACTATGCACGCTAAGGAAGAACATTTAATTTGTTGAAAGGGACAATCCAAAACCCAGAACTGATCAAATAATTAAATATATCACATTTTGCATTATTATTATGTTATTATTTATATAGCGCAAACAAATTCCGCTTTACAGTGGGTGGACAAACAAACATATAGTTGTAACCAGACAGGTTGGACACACAGGAACAGAGGGGTTGAGGGCCCTGCTCAATGAGCTTACATGCTATTGGGAGTGGGGTAAAGTGACACAAAAGGTAAAGACAGTATTAGACTAATGACAGTTGCAAGAGTGGAATCAGTCGGGAGCTCTTAACAGTTTAATCATATTTAAAATATCTGGTTATAAATAGCCATACTGTGCTAAGTTGGCTAAGTGTGTGTGTTTGTCCCCCTCCTGCTTACCTTTCACTTGTGGTCCAGTGAAGAACCTTCCTTGGTGGTCTGGTGGGAGAGACTTGAGATAACTGTAAAAGTTCCTTTGCAGGTCTGGCAGACCGTTAATGACCCAGAGCATAGGCTGTGATGCTCTGAGTCATTGCAAAGTGCCGGGGGACTGCAAAGGTATTTTTTAAAGTGTTGCAGTAGTGCAGACAACGCTCCATTGAGTAGTTCAGGGGTCACAGGGCCAAGCAGGAAAATGTTTGGAATATTTTTTGATCTACCTGCCGGCTTAAGGAGGACCTATTCCCAGACCGTAAGCCTGTCACCTATGCCAAAAGTTGTGGAGGAGTACGAAGAAATACATAAGGAGGTGCTGTGAGTCAGAAAAGACACACAAAGGATGGAGGGAATTCAGATAGATGTGAGCTGTTATAATTTAAAAATTCAGAGGGAGCAGTTCTGAGAAACCTCTACTCTAAGTGCCAAGTACCCAACCCACACATAGTACAATTGTTAGTGAATAAACCTTTGGAAACACTCTTGATGGACACGTTTAGCTGAACACACTTGCCTTTTATCCCTTCCCATATATTAACACTCTTTAATCCCCCTCTTTAGTTTCACAATCTGACATAGTACCTTTTTACAAAGCCAAGATAATGTCACTATTTAACATTAACATAACAGCCAACTATTACAAGACAATACCCCCTTTGTGACAGTAAGAAGGTTAATGATACTAACTTGAAAAAATAGTAGTTGTCCTCTCTGTAGGAAGGATAAATAGCACAGAGAGAAAAGGTTAAATTTCCTGAATATACTAGCTGCACTGTTGCAAAAAAAAAAAAATATTTCTTATTTGGTGCAATTTCCTCTTTTGCCCCCTTCCCTGTCACAGGTGCCTCATTCAAGGGCCCTATTTAACCTTGCACTGCAAAGAGTCCCAGGAGGAGGAATTCCCCAAGTAAGTGGGTTATTTTCATAAGAGCAGGTATTAGGATGCTAGAGTAGGATCTGCCAAGAATGGGGTAAATTGACGTTGTGGCAGGCCTATGCAATGTATGATCATAACTGTAACTAAACCCTTGTTATTTTTGCCTAGATTCAGTATTTACAAAAACTGTTACATTCTGTGAGCTTTGAAATTGCTGTATAGTGAAAGAGTGAGTCCGCTGGATCTTGTATGTTTTATATACATATTTACACACACACTGATCAGCCACAACATTAAAACCACTGACAAGTGACGTGAATAACATTGATTATATCATTACAATGGCTCCTGTCAACGGGTTAAATATATAAGGCAGCAAGCGAACAGTCAAATCTTGAATTTAATGTGTTGGAAACAGGAAAAATGGGCAAGCAAAAAAATCTGAGTGACTTTGAAAAAGGTCAAATAGTGATGGCTAGACGACTGGGTCAGAGCATCTCCAAAACAACAAAAGTGATGCAAGGAAGGACAATCAATGAACCGTGTTCAGGGTCATGGGTGACCAAGGCTCACTGATGCACGTTGGGAGTAAAGGCTAGCCCGTCTAGTAGGATCACACAGAAGAGTTACTTTAGCTCAAATTTCTTAAAACGTAATGCTGGCCATGGCCACCTGCTTATATGCAGACAGTCAAAGTACTCATGATGACTTCTGTTCATTAATTGCCTGGTCTGATGAATCATGTCATGCTTTAGATCAGGTGCATAGCGTTTGCATCATATACTTGGGGAAGTGATGACAGCAGGATGCACTATGGTAAAAAGGCAGGCTGGCAGAGGCAGTATGATGCCTGGGCAATGTTTTGCTGGAAAACCTTGGGTCCTGTCATTCATGTGGATGTTACTTTGACACGTACCACCTACTTATAGATTGCTGCAGACCATGTACACCGTTTCATGGCAATGGTGTTCACTGATGGTAGTGGCATCTTTCAGCATGATAATGCCTCCTGCAACACTGCGAAAATTGTTCAAGAATGCTTTGAGGAACACGACAAAGAGTTTAAGGTGTTGCCTTGGCCTCCAAATTCCCAAGATCTCAATTTGATTGAGCATCTGTGGATGTGCTGAAACAATAAATCCAATCTATGGAGGACCCACCTCGCAATTTGCAGGACTTAAAAGATTTGCGGCTAAGTCTTGATGTCACATACCACATGACACATTCAGAGGTCTTGTGGAACCCATGGAAAAAGAGAAAGAAAACAGCGCTAAATTGCCACAATAAAATTATAAGAAAGGCAGCAATCCTCAAAGGGGAGTCCCCAATAATCCCCTAATGATAACAGATAGCAAGAACAAACATAGATATAAGGATGCGCCTAAAACTTGATAAAATAAAAGACTAAATTAGTCAGATAAAATACAGAATAAAATAAGTAATAAAACAATAGTCCAATAAAATAGGCTTATCACAGTCCGTGAGGGTAGGTCCCACTTGTAAAGGAATATTCTTTAGGGTGTAGGTGGGATCATATCTTCAAATGTTGAGAATTCAGCATATGTGGCGAGAAAAATAAAAACAGGACTCCAATGGCACAGTAAATCGGTGTATAAAATAAATATAAAGGTATAAAATCAGTCTTACTCACACTTTTCAGAGCTAGGATCAGCTCTGATATTGCTCGCGTAAAGTGGAATAATCCCCGCTTCAAGGATATATGGAGTAAATGTTGATTGTTGAATATCTGACGTGGGTTCAGCGTTCAATTTGACGTGATACGACGCAGAGGAAAAAATGAAATAAAATATATAGTGCTCACTGTATGTAATAAAATTAAAAGAAAGTAAAGTATACTACTCACGTAAAGTAGAGCAGACTCAAAACTGCTCAGTGAAGGCGCTCAGGTGGTATAATCCCTGTCACGAACGCACCCTACTCCAAGAGTGTGCGTGACGTAGTTGTGGTGGTGAAAGGGTTAAAGTACACTATTTGTCTGCACTAGACCAGAAATAATGACAAAATCCCCCTTTAACACCACCCACACATAACCATAATAATATAACTATTACTACTTTAACGCTGCCACCACCAAGACAATTTATAAATGGGGTGCCTTGGTCCCCCAGGTAAATCAATAATAAAACCCACCAAATATTACTTAATACAATATTTAAGGAATTATAAAAATACTAACTAGTCTCTTCAGGTAACGTGATTCTTAACCAGACAAAGGTAAAACTTAATAAATGAATGTTTATTATGAGCAAAAGATAGTCACAGTGCATATAAAAATATATGATAAACAAATTATTTACACCAACAACAGATAAAAACAAAAAGGATAAAATACAGAAGTCCTAATTACTCACTTAGGTTTTCAAAGTACAACTTCTGTCCAGGGGGTCTCTGGCAAAGAAACGTGGTGACTCACTCAAAATTAGATCTTGGCCCCAAGCAAGTACACCAACACCCTTCAGGATCATTAGATATATACCCTGTGGTTTATCAAGTCTTGCCCAGGGGTGGAGTTAAGGCGTACCTACAGAAATAATAACTGACCACCTCCTTTGTTCCAGACCACTGTCAATCCAAATGAAAACATTTGACTCTATCTTCTTTTTTGTACCTGCCACAGAAATAATAATTGCATCTACAAATTTGTTATTATTTTCCCATTCCATAGACATGTTGCACGTCCCACCCACGATCCAATAGGACGGACATCACAATTCCTTTCCCTAGGGTCAAGTTAGGCCACTCATGTTTGGACTTGGTTAGAAGATGACGCTTGTCACATTCCAAATATAACAAAAATGAGGCTTAATTATTATTCTGTGGGGGTAAATATGAATGTTTTTGTCCTTCCTTTGGATATGATACTAGAACAAAGCTAATGGCATTTACATATCAAAGAGATTTACTCACCACTTACAAAGTACAGGCCAAATGGATGAAGAGACATTCAGACTTTTTCCAAGTGTAGAACCTCACACCTTGCAGACTTCACATCCATACAGTAAAATCCTTTTCACATTCCTATGCCATTCACACTACCCCTTCTGTCATATGCCCTCTGTGGGGGTCCCAGCTTCAAAAGATGTAACCCCTGTTGACCTCAGCAATAGCATCTCTGTAATTTGTGCCATTTACTACAAGAAATCACATTAAAAGATGATATTCCATAGTGTCATAATAAATTATACACCCTTGCCGTGACAATCCCCACCTATGGATTCTTTGCACTTCCTGCAGGGTGAGCCGTATACGTAAAAGCAATAAAAGAAAATGTATGTAAAATCAGGTAAAGCAAATGGCAATAAAGTATTTTATGCCAATAAAATATCTTTATTATAGAGTTAAGAACAAAATCTATTAATATCTAAACGCGTTTCGCCTTAACAGGCTTCTTCAAGTAGATAGTGGGCTCTTTCCCACTATCTACTTGAAGAAGCCTGTTAAGGCGAAACGCGTTTAGATATTAATAGATTTTGTTCTTAACTCTATAATAAAGATATTTTATTGGCATAAAATACTTTATTGCCATTTGCTTTTTCCTTTACCTGATTTTACATATATTTTCTTTTATTGCTTTTACGTATACGGCTCACCCTGCAGGAAGTGCAAAGAATCCATAGGTGGGGATTATACCACCCGAGCGCCTTCACTGAGCAGTTTTGAGTCTGCTCTACTTTACATGAGTAGTATACTTTACTTTCTTTTAATTTTATTACATACAGTGAGCACTATATATTTTATTTCATTTTTTCCTCTGGGTCGTATCACGTCAAATTGAACGCTGAACCCACGTCAGATATTCAACAATCAACATTTACTCCATATATCCTTGAAGTGGGGATTATTCCACTTTATGCGAGCAATATCAGAGCTGATCCTAGCTCTGAAAAGTGTGAGTAAGACTGATTTTATACCTTTATATTTATTTTATACACTGATTTACTGTGCCATTGGAGTCCTGTTTTTATTTTTTTCTCCACATATGCTGAATTCTCAACATTTGAAGATACGATCCCACCTACACCCTAAAGAATATTCCTTTACAAGTGGGACCTACCCTCACGGACTGTGATAAGCCTATTTTATTGGACTATTGTTTTATTACTTATTTTATTCTGTATTTTATCTGACTAATTTAGTCTTTTATTTTATCAAGTTTTAGGCGCATCCTTATATCTATGTTTGTTCTTGCTATCTGTTATCATTAGGGGATTATTGGGGACTCCCCTTTGAGGATTGCTGCCTTTCTTATAATTTTATTGTGGCAATTTAGCGCTGTTTTCTTTCTCTTTTTCTAAATTTAATGTTGAGCGGAAAAAAAGCAGGGTAGGGGAAACAGCGCTAAAGAAAACAAAACTATAAAAATGAAATGAAGGGGGCAACAAACCTAAAGTAGGGCTCCCTCTAAGCCATACTGACAAATGAAATAGACAATATAAACAGAGAGAGATTGCGCCAAATAACAAACTAGGTAAAAAGATACTGGAAAAAATTAATTAAATATAAAAAATGTTAAAATATCAAAAATATATAAAAAGAGTCCAATAGCAATGGTGATGGTAACAAATCACAATCAGTAGAAAGAAAAAGTCCAAATGCACAACTTGCCAGGAAGATAACCAACAGTCTGTAGGGAAGGGTGTTCCTAACAAGAGCCGGATAGGGACAACTTGTGTGAATCTGTATGTGAAAACAGAGAGAGGATAATAGTGCAATATGTCCTATAAAAATTGTATAAAATACAGGGTCTGATATGGTCCTACTCACTTGTAGTAGAGTTTAAAACCAGCTCTAGGATGAATGGCATACAGCAGTACAATCCCTTCTTATAGGATATGTGAAGAGGTGTGAATATCTCAGCATGTAGACTTTTATGTAGACCATAAAAGGGTAAAAGAGACAACGGGTAGTGCTCACGGTGTAAAAGGATAATAGGAGTATAAAATTTAAGATGTTTACTCACATTTAATTGAGCAGGCGGACTGCTCAATGAATCAAGCGTGAGTTGTATAATCCCCACCTTGGATTTCTTTTGAGTAATACTCAACTGAAGTGATAAAATCGGGATACCAGGCAGTAGTAATAAAAAGTATAAAAAAATTGTAAAAAAAAGTAAAATGGCACAATTTAAATGTTTAAAAGCAGCCAAAATACCTTTATTAAACAACTGAATTCACTGTGGCATTGTTTCAATAAGCTTCTGCAATGTCACAAGATTTATTTCCGTTCAGTGTTGCATTAATTTTTCACCAAGATCTTGTATTGATGATGGGAGAGTCGGACCACTGTGCAAAGCCTTCTCCAGCACATCCCAAAGATTCTCAATGGGTTTAAGGTCTGGTGGCCAATCCATGTGTAAAAAATAATGTCTCATGCTCCCTGAACCACTCTTTCACAATTTGAGCCCAATGAATCCTGGCATTGTCATCTTGGAATATGCCTCTCCCATCAGGGATTTTAAAAAATCAGTTGAAGGAATAACCTGGTCATTCAGAATATTCAGGTAGTCGGCTTACATCATTCTTTGGGCACATAATGTTGCTGAACCTAGACCTGACCAAGTGCAGCAACCCCAGATAATAGCACTGCCCCCACCGGCTTGTACAGTAGGCACTAGACATGATGGGTGCATCACTTCATCTGCCTCTCTTCTTCTCCTGATTTGCCCATCATTGATGGTTCCCCACTATCCTCCCAGTTTTTAATAATGCATTGGACAGTTCTTAAACCCAATTTTAGTAGTTTCTGCAATCTCCTTAGATGTTTTCTCTGCTTGATGAATGCCAATGATTTGACCCTTCTCAAACAGACTAACATCTTTCCACGACCACGGGATGTGTCTTTTGACATGGTTGTTTAAGAAATGAGAAGCTACTTATTGCATCAGTTGGGGTTAAATAACTTGTTGCCAGCTGAAAGATAATCGCCCCTGCAGTAACTATCCAATAGGAGGCTCTTACCTATTTACTTAGTTAAATCCAGGTGGCAATTTTTTTTTTTTTGGCCAGGCAGTGTATTTCCAACAGAAATTAGTATCTCCAGTTCTAGTTTTCATTACACTTATTTCCTGGTTACCTATTGACTTACAGCACCAGTTAGCATTCATATGTTCTGGTAGAGTTCTCATATACATAGGGCCACATTCAATAAAGCTCTTTTTATCATTATTAACTTCATACCAGTATAATCTATATAGCTGCTCTTTAACTATTTAGACATAGGAGCTAACATTATAAGGTTGTTATTAATTGTATTTATTTTGTATCACTTTATTGCAAGATCTCTCTAGATATATCTTTTTGACTACAGGTCTTTACCTTTATATAGATGTTATATAAGACTACTGCTCTCATCTTCAGGATATACGATATACAATGTTTTCACCGCTTGTGAATTACTGTATAACTTTTTGTTCTTTGTCTATGATATCTCTTGTGATATTTTAATATTTTGAGAAAATCATTTTACAAGTTTATCCAAAAATATGAAATCATTGGAAAAGCTCATCCAAGAATATTAAATCAAGGCAATAATCTGAAGGGTCTGTCAAACAAGACACTAATGATATTAAATATAGTTAGTATACATTTTTTTGAAGTGACCCAATAAAGAGGCAGCTTGGGATATGTAAGGTCTTCTTGATTATGTGGCAAGTGATTTTCATCATAGCCAAGATTAAGTACCCAGATGTGCAAATTGTCTAAAACATCAGATGTCATGCAACCCAACCCCTTATGCCACTTGTCTTGTTAATTATTGACATGGAGTAATAAATAGTTACCAGACCAGTTTTATAAGTGGTCTTTTAAACCTAGAAGTGTTTTTACAGGTACTTCCACTCCTACTTCCCTTCCTTCTAGCTACTTCCTTCTCTCCGTGCCACTTCCTTGCAGTTCACTACTTACAGCACGAACAGAGGGAATTCTACTTGGGTTGCAGCATTTCAAAAAACAAAAGGGTATTTTTAGTTTGTATCCTGAAAATTACTCATCATGGTACAGCAAAATAAAAATCCAGACACTGCGTTGATTGATAACAATCAATGGGTCCATTTAAAAAGCACAGGCTTTTCTTAATTTTCCATTTTCATAGAACTATAATGTGTCACATGCTATCCTGAATTCTTTCCTTGTACTCAACATTTTTCTTTCTACTTAAATCTAATAAACTGTGTGGAATGCCTTTGTCATAAATTGCTGTGCAAATGAGTCAGTATAGCAACCTTTTAGAACTATGATTCACGTTCTCTTCTAGCAAGGCAGAGTTATAGCAATATATTAAATATATGTATACCCACTATATATGCTTATTTTTTTACAATCTTAGATCCACAAAGGGTTTTGGAATTTAAAAAGGTGAACAAAGGATTTTCATTTGTAAATGCATTATTGCATATCTCTTAACAGTTTAGGGTCCATATCCCTATGTCCCTGTTTTTCATCCTAATATACCTCTTTTCAAGGAGCTCCATATTCTTGCTGTGTCTGAGTGTATAACAGAGCTCCAGAGCAATAATACTCACAGTAATGTGGCTTTAAACTACAATAAATGTGTTTAGAAATATGTCTGTAAAAGAAAAAAATTGTTATTGTGATAAATTACATTTTCACATAAATTGTTCTTAGTAATTCACTCCGCCACTGCAGG